GGGTATATGATAAATTTTTTTTGTGTGTGTGTGTGGATGCTGTTCAGAGGAAAGAAAGGGAATTGAAGCTGCAAGTATGAGGTGTCACCTCCCGTCTTACCCTGTAGTCTATCCAATGTCAAGGACTCCTCTCTCTTCCTAATATGGGCAATCTCTACTGATGACTCATTGTTCTAGGAGTTTTCTCATCCCCCACCTCCTCCTGCCCCTGGTCTCCTGCTTCTATGAAGGAGGGTGGGCGGCTCACAGCAGGGCCAGTTCTACCCTCTTAGCATGTTCTAGACTGGGTATGGAACCCTATTTTCTGGCGGTGACCTTGACATCACGAAGAGTTTAATGTCACTTTAGCCTCAGATTTGGGCAAACGTCACTTATAGGGCAACAGGAAATACATGAGCCAGCAGCTTTTCTTAAAAAATAAAATAGTTGGCCTGGGGTGGTGGCTCACGTCTGTAATCCTAGCAGGCCAGGAGGCTGAGGCAGGTTGATTGCTGTGCTCAGGAGTTCAAGACCAGCCTGAGAAAAAGGGAAACCCCCCCCATCTCTATTAAAAATAGAAAAACTAGCCAGGCATCCTGGCAAATGCCTATAGTCCCAGCTACTTGGGAGGCTGAGGCAGGAGGATCGTTCAAGCCCAAGAGTTTGAGGTTGCTGTGAGCTCTGGTGCCATGGCACTTACCCAGGGTGACAGACTGAGACTCTAAAATAAAAAATAAATAGAATAAAATATTGAGGAAAGTGAAAGACTAGGTTTCTAATCTAGAGGGCAAATGAGAGTATATCTTCATCACATGCAAAGCATTAGTGCCTTTTATGTATCACGAAAAAAAAAAAAACTCAACAGGAAAAAGACACATACATTATAGTGCAAATGTATTTCCCGACTAGCATCTATTCTACATCCTTCCTGAGACCCGAAACCCATCTCCTTTAGGAAGCCACCTTTCTCCTCAATCTTCAGACTTAGAGTTTCTGTAAAAATTTATCCAACTCTTAGATCCAAGCCTTGAGCAACTTGAGCAAATCAATGAAACCCATCCTTACAACCACAGCAATTGCTTAGGAACTGGGTTCCAAATCAGTCAAATCTGAAAGACCCTGGTGATTCCCCACCTCCCACACCCTCCCACTGTGGACCCAGACACACTCTTTTTTGCAGGACATGAATAAGGATTCAGGTAACATGACCAGGTATTGGCAGCCACTCTGGGCCTCTCAGATGGAAAGGAGGTTCAGAAAGAGAAGCAAACAGGGCCTGTGGGATATCACAAGGGGGCTGCCTGCAGGAGGCTGGAGCCAGAGCTCTCTCAGCACCTTATGGTTGGGGAGCCACATGGTGGTGCATTTATTCAAGCCTCTTTGAGTTAGGCTTGTTTGTTTTCCTCCATGAAACGATCAGCATCCTGAGACACACAGAGATTGGCTGAACTGAAGAAGCAGGAGGTCATTTGGAGAGGACCTTTTTACCTGGAAGTGGTTTGTAAACTTGGTTGTGCCTCTGAGCTTAGGCAGGTGGATAGCTTGAGCTTAGGAGTTCAAGATCAGCCTGAGTAACAGTGATACTCCATCTCTACTAAAAGTAGAAAAAATGAGCCAGGTGTTGTAGCGGGTGCCTGTAGTCCCAGCTACCTGGGAGGCTGAGATAAGAGAATCTCTTGAGCCCAAGAGTTGGAGGTTGCTGTGAGCTAGGCTGAGACAGTATTCTACCCTAGGTGAGAGTGAAACTTCATTTAAAAAAAAAACAAGAAAAACTTGGGTGTGCACTAGAGTTATTCAGAGGCTCGGAACAGATTTCTGGGCCCTGCTGCCTATAAGAAGGGAGAGGAGCTTAGACTTGGCATCTCTAGCATGTTCCTAGGCCATGCTCACAGTGCTGTTAGTGCAATGCCCTTTGAGAACCACTATTACGAGGTGTTGCCAGATACTAAGGCTATGGCATTAGAGAATTTGATAGGAAAGATTCTGAATATTGCAATTCAGTAGCTACTTCTTGGTAAAGTCCTTAAGAAAGATCTTTAAAATAGGCTCATCTGAAATCAGAAAAGGAAAAAAATTGACTTTGTTGAAAAAGGCCTTTCCAGCCTGCTGTTGTAGAACCCACTAATCTGGAGTCCTGTGGGGCTGTAAATGCAGGATATTCTATTCTGAGATAAAGTGAGTGTGAGCAGAGGTGGGGAGGGGAGAGACCAGCATGGCCGTAACTCCCCTTTCTTACCCTTTCCTGTGTGGCTTTGGGCCAAAAGGCAAATATTAATCACCCTACATGTGACCCTGCACCTGCATAGGGCCCAGATTTAGGCAGGAGTCTCTCCCCAAGGCCTGGGAGGTAGGGATAACTACAGTGTGAGACCATGGTAGGATGTGTGTGGTCCCAACCCCAGTAAAAATGCAAAATATCTGACCAGGCAACCTCTCTCCTTGTTACCTAGCCCAGGGAATTGATCAGAAGCAAATAGGAAGACGCCTACTCCCATTAGAAGGGTGTTACATTACTAAAGAAACCATAGGACTGGCCCTAAACAGGCGTTGATTGCTCAATACCGAAGGCAACCCTGGGCTAATTTACACAGACAGGAAGTCAGCAGCCAGAGAGTAGATCCTCCCCAGTGCACATCTCAGATATGCCCATGGAGGACATTCCCCCAAGGAGGAGAGTTAGGGACTGCCAGAGAGGCAGATCAAGGATCTCAGTCAAGTCTCAGATCCTGAAATGCCCTAGGAACTGGTCAGCAGTGTAATCCCCATTCTCTCTTTTTCCTAACAGAGTTCTGTGTTCAATTTACTCTGCTCACACTTGCATTTAGGAAATATGAGGCATGGTTTAACTTCTTATTTAGCTTTGCTTTCTGGACTTTGAGGAACAGTTCAGTGCATGCAGGCAAATTTTGTACGGCCCAAGGTTCTATTTCTGAAAAAAGAAGAAATGATGCCACCTTCACTGCTTCTTTGGGGACAAAGGCTGCTCTTCCCTCTCTCCCAGTAGTACCTTCATACTTACAATGGGTGTGGGTAGTAATGTAGGGAGAATGGGGCCCCTGGTGATGGAAGGAGGTTGTCAAATTTTGCACAGGAGGTGTGTGTGTGTGTGTGAGAGAGAGAGAGAGAGAGACAGAGAGAGAGAGACAGAACCAGAGGCAGAGACGAAGAAAGATGACAGCCTTGGTCTAGAGGACTTGTTTATTCCTTTATCCTCATGCTCTAAAAGCCAACCTGACATCAAAACTCTGCAAGCCAGGATGAGCTACATCCTCTCCATGTCAACTCAGAGTCCCCACCAGACAGTGGTCCCAACAGATGGAATATCACCCATCAAAGGATAGAGCAAGATGAGACCAGAGAGATAAGCAATATAAGTTCACTGAAAAACAAATCACATTTTTTAAAGTGCAGAAAACAAAAAGGAATGCCTATCCCTAGATATATAAACCCTCATTTCCTCTAAGAAACTACAGTTAGCTATTGATGTATCTTTCGAAATACCTACTTATGTAAATACATAAATAGCCTTTTAAAAGAAAAGCAAAATAATATTCTATACAGATAGCTTGAGGGCATACGTATAGAATACACATGCAAATAGGAATGTAAATAGGGGCACGGTTAGCATGGAATGTTATAGACACTTCTCATAGACATAGATGTGTGTTATACTTTTTTCCTGACTGCAAAATATTCTATTGATAGGCATCTTAATCTTTTTCTAATTTAATCCCTGACTGATGGCTGTTTCCACTTGTTTGCTTTTTAACAACCATGCTACAAAGAATATCCTGATGTCTACATATTCCTGTATCTTGGCAGTGTTTCTATAAAACAGAATCCTAGAAATGGGATCAGGTCCAGTGGAATTTAGATCAAACAGCATGTGGATTTTTATATTGGTTAAACAGGGGTGTTCACACTTTTAAGAGTTTGAGCCCTACAAGTCTGTTCAATTTTGGACTCCCAAGTTAGAGTACCTTAAAACAATGAAATCATCCTGGCTCATAAAAATTGATCTCTATTTGATTTTCACACAAGTCTTCTGAATTTCTCTTCCCTCTGCAGAAAGGACCCTAGCTCTGTGTACATTTCTTGTACTTATAACTGAAGCAGTCCACCTTTTAAATAACTTACCTTTCAGAGTAAAACTATAAATAGAATCCAGCTCCACATAGAGGCTGGCTGTCGTCTTTTCCATCTCTGACATTGGCCATTTATTTTGTGAGATGTGGAGTCTATAGAAATAATGTACAAAGTACTTGTTACCACATACAGATACGCACCACATTTAGAAAAGAATGGTGAGTCCTACTGACTAACTCTGTGGCTCTCAGTCTCTACGGGGGTGGGGAAGCCCTGCTAATCTTAGTAAAAACTTCCATCCCCGGTCCAGACCTAAAGGTTCTGATGTGAATGGTGGAAATAACTATTGCTTATGATTTGAGTGTAAGTGGATCATGTTTGGGGAAATAATTTGGTGGGTGGTTAAGAGTATAGTCTTTAGTTAAATAAAAATCTAGTCTGGGAACTCAACTGGACCATTTACTCTGCTATTGATCTGGGCCGAGTAGCTTAACCTTTCTGAACCCTGGGTTACTTTTCTGTCAAATGGGGATATGTATAGTGCCTAAGCTGCACTATTGCATTGTAGGATTAAATGGACAATGCATAAAAAGGTGTCAGCCTAGAGTGCTCAAAAATGTTAACAATTGTTATTAAGAAAGTTTAATCTATCATAAATATGCACCATCAAATACTGAGCTTAATGGTATTCATTCGAGTAGTGAATTGTCCTAGAGCCTGTATGTTATGATTTGATTTATAAAATACTTGTAATTTCAACGCTCCAGAGCTGTGCCTCCAGTGTAAAGTGGAGTGACTGTGGTACTCACGTCCATCTCTCCCAATGTCCCTCCATTTCACATCTTCCTATTTGCTGCTTATTCCTCCAACCAGTGATTCTGATTCTCCAGAAAACAAAACCAAACTCAATGGGGGTTTACTTTTTAAAAGAGCATCTTTATTATTTCCCTGGGCTAAACACAGTGCTGAACAAAAGCATCCCATACATTTTTGTCAGTCTGGTGGCTTCGGTGCCATGCCTGCCTAGAATAAGTTGACGGCAGCCCTTCAATTGTCACCAACCACAGTGTGCACAAAGCGGGAGGGGACGGGTGGCAAAGAAGGGATCTCTTAGACTAAGCAAACAGTCACAGACACAGTGTGATATCAAAAATAAATTATAAAAACTAAATAATATAAATAAATTAAAATTTAAATTAAGAAGAGTCCCAGAGTATGGCTGTTTGGCAACAGCCAGCCCATAGGAGAGGTAGCTGTGGAGGTTGCAGGCACGTTTCCAATGCTTGGGCTCCTGCTCCCGGCCAAGCCCACCAAGGTCACTGGGTTCCTTGCTGCTCCCAAGCCACTCAGGCATTCAGCTCCAGGTCACTGATATATTCCTGGACCCAGGCCTCAGTGGGGTCAGCGCAGGTCTGCCGGTTTTTCTTAGTTAGGAAGCTGTGGAAAAAGGAAGAAGGATCAAACACGGAGGAAACCAGCAGGGAAGTCCTAAGGTCGCTGTGGACCCTTCATCCCACTCTCTGTCCTGGGCAGCTCAGGCCCTGCCCGCTTTCCTAAGAATCCTCTGCCCATTATAGTTTAAAGAAAATTCCTCAATGACTCAGGGAGGCCCTCAGAGGATGCTACTACCTCCTTCCCATCCCTTCCCTCCAGGCTGGGACAGCACTCCCTGAATCTGCAATATCCTCTCCCCATTCCCCAGGTCAAGTCACACCTGGGAGACCTGGATCCTCTTAGGCTTTCCAGGATGGCTCTTCTGGCTTACCTGTGCCCTTGGGCTATTCTGGCCTGTCTTGAGCCCCCAGCCTAGACCCTTCCCGGCTTCCCTGAATGGGGCAAGAAGATTGGCACTTACATGACACCTGGCTTGGAGCACTGGCTGCTGGTCTCAAAATAGTCAACTACGAATTTGCGTGCAATCTGCCGGCCATAGGAGAAGCAGCAGGCTGACGGGGTGTCAGCACCATCTGTGGAGGAAGGGACAGAATGAGCTTGAGTCATAGTTCAGAAGGAAAGGCAAGCCGTATTCTTATCCTTGAAGGGGTAAAGAAGACAGCCTTGCTCAAGTTAGGGCTGGGAGACCAAGCTATTGGACATTTTCCCCCAGAAACGTCCCTGCCTCTGTCTTTGCTTCTGTCTATAGTATTCTTCCCTTTGATGCTTCATAGTGGGCTCTCTCTGTGTGTGACCTAGGTATCTGAGAAGACAGTTCTCCTATCTGATCTCTCTTCAGGACATTTTATCTGATTCAAGACATCATACTCCAGCAAAAGAGAATTGCTAAACATTTCTCATATGACATCCAAGGCACAGAGCTCCTGGGAGACCTAGGAGCAGACCTAGGGTGAACAGGTGAATGAATGACACCAGTAGGAAGCAATCAGACTTGGATTCTGCCTTTTGCTAACCCTCTTGTTTAGAACCTTGTGTTCTATCTGTACAAAGGGCTGTCACTCCCCTCTCCCTGCCTGACTCTCAGACCTGAGGACAGGAGAGCTAAGACCCCTTATAGAGATGAACAGAGATAAAAATAGTCTCGAAGAGAAAGACCAAAATGCTCGTATACTCCTTTCAGAACTTCTCTATTTTCTCCTAGGGGGTTCTCAGGCTATAAGAAAAGATTGATGTGGTCTAATCCTGGCCAGAGAGTGGGGACACCCACAATAACAACATAGACTCACATGGTGCAGCAAAGACCTGGTTGCAGAGAGCCATGGTGCAGAGAAGGATGGCAGCAGCAGCCACGGGGACCTTCATGATTCTGAGCAGAGGGTGGAATGTGAGCTTGAGCTTTGTCAGCAAAGCCAAGAGGGTCCTGGGCACTTTCTGCTGCCTGTGTCCTTCTGGAGTCTGAAGCCATCTCCCCTTCTCTTTATAGTCAGCCCTGGCGGATGGAGAAATGGAATCCGGGGGTGAGGAGGGAAATTTTTAAACATAGTGTTGTTGTCATGCTGAGTGTTGCACAATTCAGGGTCTCTGGTGACCACAGGGGCTCAGGATATCCAAGAATAGCATCTCTCAGTTATAAGTCTCAGCTCAACTCATGACTTGTTTCAGCTATTTGTGGGGAAATAGCTTCTCCTGTGAGTGTGAGGAAAGGGGTGTGTGTCAACCCAGGGCTATTCTTAGCTGGTCTCTTCTTATGAGAACTGATGTATGCATGGGCTCTCGTTCCTTCCTTTTAGCACGGAGCTAAAACTCTGTGCTTCCCAAGACACTCTAACCACACAGACAGGGTAGACATGCTGATGCTGTGGAAGGCAGCACCCCCTTCCTTCCTGGATGTAAGGGACTGAATTAAGGAATTCCCAGCTAGAGGGAAGAAAGTGTGAAGTCACATTTCAGTCATTTGTCTATTCATCAAAGAGTCATGGAGTGACAAGGAAACTGGGTTAATCACTAGTGATTCTTAATAGGTGGGTGTCAATATGTCAGGAACCTAAAAATAATTATAGCCATTAAAACCTAGAAAAAGCATTTCTAGGAAAAAGTTCTGTGGAAACAATCCAAATATGGAGGCATCTTTAAACATAAAGATATCACTCCCAATATCATCTATAACTCTTAAATAAACAAACTTAAAATAAAATAACTAGGAATAAACTTAACCAAAGAAGTGAAATATCTCTACAATGAAAACCATTAATAAAACATTAATAAAATAAACATTCACAAAATATTAATAAAATAAATTGAAGAAGACACACACACATAAATGGAAAAATATTTCCTGTTCATGAATTCAAAGAATCAATATAATTAAAATGTCCATTCTACCCAAAGCAATCTACAGATTCAATGCAATCCCTATCAAAATGCCAGTAACATTCTTCACAGAAACAAACAAACAAAAATCCTAAAGTTTGTATGAAACCACAAAAGACCCAGATTAGACAAAGCCATCCTGAGCAAAAAGAACAAAGTTGGAAGAATCACATTACCTGACTTCAAATTATACTACAAAGTTATAGTAATCAAAACAGCACTCACATAAAAACAGACACATAGATCAATGGATTAGGATAGAAATAAATATTTCATGCATTTATAGTCAACTCATTATTGACAAAGATGCCAAGAATACTCATTGGGGAAAGGACAATCTCCTCAATAAATGATATTGGAAAAATTGGATATCTATATGCAGAAGAATGAAACTAGACCCCAAAGTTTTGCCATCTACAAAAGTTAAATAAAAATGTATTAAGGGTTGAAATATGATACTTGAGAAACTAAAACTACTAGAGGAAAACATTGGGAAAACACTCTAGGACAATGGCTTGGGCAAAGATTTTTTGCGAGAGACCTCTAAAGCACAGGTAACCGAAGTAAAAATGGGCAAATAGGATTATATCAATCTAAAAAGTTCTGCGCAGCAAAGGAAATAATCAACAAAGAGAAGAGACAATTCACAGAATGGGAAAAATATTTGCAAACTACCCATCTGACAAGGAATTAATAACCAAAATACATAAGGAGCTCAAACAACTCAATAGCAAAAATAATAATAATAACCTGATTTAAAAATGGGCAAAAGAGCTGAACAAATATTTCTCACAAGAAGACATACAAATGGGCAACAAGTATATAAAAAATTGCTCAGCATCACTAGTCATCAGAGAAATGCAAATGAAAACTACAATGAGATATTACCTCACCCCTGTTAAAGTAATTTTTGTCAAAAAGACAGGCAATAACGGATGCTGGCAAGGATGTAAAGAAAGGGGAACTCTTGCACGTTGTTGGTGGGAATGTAAATTAGTACAACCACTATGGAGAATAGTTAGGAGGTTCCTCAAAAAATGAAAAACAGAACTACTATATGATCTAGAAATTCCACTGCTGTCATGTATCTGAAAGAAAGGAAATAGTATGCTGAAGAGATATCTGCGCTTCCATGATTCTTACAGCATTATTTACAATAGCTGAAATTTGGAATTAACCTAAGTGTCCATCAATGAATAAATGGATGAAGAAACCATGGTATATATACAAATGGAATATCATTCAGCCATAAAAAGAATGAAATCCTGTCTTTTGCAACATCATGGATGACAGTACAGAATATAAATGAGAAAAGTCAGGCACAGAAAGACAAATAGGACATTTTCACTCATGTGGGGACCAAAGAAAAAATGGAACTCAAGGAGATAGAGAGTAGAATGATGGTTATTAGAGGCTTGAAAGGGAGGGAGGCGCTGGTAATGTGTACCAAATATAGTTAAAGAGAAAGAATAAGTCTAGTAATTGGTAGCATAATAGGGTGACTGATAGTTAACGACAATTTATTCTGTATTTTAAGTTAACTAAAATAGTGGAATCGGAATGTTCCCAACACAAAGAAATGGTAAATGCTTGAGGTGATGGATACTCCAATTGCCCTGATTTCATCATTATATACCATATGCCTGTATCAAAACATCACATGTTCCCTATAAATATGTATAACTGTTATGTATTTATAATAACTGAAAATTAAAAAATTATGGTGCTGGACCCCACCTGCAGCCCCAGCCAGGGACTCTCTCCTTTCCCAGGATCTCCTGGGGTTCCCACCCCTCCCATACTGCCAGGGACACAGCCAGCCCAGTGCAAGTGTCTGTCTGGGGCCCTGGCTTGTCCTTGGAGGAGCCCAGAGTTGACCCTCCGAGCCACAGCCTGGCAGCAACAGTGACGGCTGCCATCTATCTGGAGGGTCCATGCTTGTGATTCTCAATGGAGAGTGAAAATATAGTTTCATAATGAAAACCAGCCCTCACTAGCCACTGATTCTCAAAAGACAGAGGCTGCCCCTTCCTGTTCAAAATGCCCCAGGTGAAATATCAAAGGAGGAACCTAAGAGACTCCCTGCCCAACAGGAGCCTGGTCAAGCACAGGCTTCCAAGGAAGTGACAGAGTTGAGCTTCCACAAGTTTCCAGCTGGGATCAAGATTATTAACCATCCACCATGCCCAAAACTCAAGTGGTGGCCATCCCCAGAAATGCCAGCATCCAGAGCATCATCACAGCAGTGACTGCCAAGGGCAAAGAGAGTGGCAGCAGTGGGCCCAGCAGATTCATCCTCATCAGCTGTGGGGGAGCCCCAACTCATGCTCCAGGACTCCAACCTCCAGCCCAAATCAGCAATGATGCTAAGAAGACAGGAGTGATCACTGAGACACTGGGACCAAAACCTGCAGCCAGGGATGTGAATCTTCCTAGGCCACCTCAAATATGGAGGTCTTTAGGCTAGGCTTCCCAGATTCACAGACTCCAGCCTTTCAGGCAATCATTCTATGATAGAGGGCCTGGTTCTTGACATGATGAACAACAGCTTCAGCAAGATCCTGCTGGACATCAGCTTCTCTGGCCTGGAGGAGGACCCACTGAGCCCTGACAACATCAACTGGTCCCAGTTCATTCCTGAGGTGCAATAAAGACCTGATCTTGCCCTTGTGCCCAAGCTGTCCACCATCCTGGGAGCTCATGTGTTTCAGCAATCCAAGGCTCTGTGCACCCCAAGCCTCTTAGTGAGGACAGCAGTAGGGGCCATCCTGCATCTCCTCGCTCTACCCTGCTTGATTATGCCGAGGCAGCAATCACCCCTTCGCCTTTGCTGAGTCCTTGTGCTCCCAAGAGAATCTGATCCCTCCATTCTTCCTTCTAAGGGTTAATCTGTAGGAAGGGCAAAGGTAACGATGGAAAGAGATTAGGAGCTCCCTCCCCAAACTGTTTCCATTCTGTGCCCAGCAGTTTCCATTCTTCCTCAATCCTTGCAGGGTGACTTTTGTAATTAGTGTAAATTCTCCAAATTCTTCTCTAATTATAAATGTAAGCTTATTTCCTTAGATCATTATCTAAAGACTGCCAGAAAGTGGGTAGGATGACCATGGGCTTCCGTTTGCTTTTGTTCCTTGCTTTTAGTTTTTAGAAAATGGAGAACCTGCCTTTCAGGCGCTATTGAAAGCACCCAGATGAGCAGATCCACTTACGAGGGTCCCTTTTATTGCCCTTCCCTCCCACCTCCCCATGTTATCAAGTGAGCTTTCCTGCATGAAGAAATCCTGGCTAAAAAGGTCTTTTGTATTGGGTCAGGAGTTGAATATGGGGGGGGGGCGATGGATGCATCTAAAGCAAGAATGTGGGTACTCAAATGTGCCCCGACTAGAGATTTCTCTGATAATGTCCCTAATCATGCCAGAGAGACTCACATTGATTAGAACTCAGCAGAGACTTGAAAAGCATGAAAGGGCCCCCAACCTGCTTGGCGTCCCTTCACTTGCACCTCAGCTTTGCAAAGGGCCACCCTAGGCCCCAGCTGACCACAGGAATGTGAGCCAGCTCAGAAACACCACTGCAACTACCTGCTCAATAAAATCCAGGGTGGAAAAAAAATAAAAAATTATTTTTAAAAAAAGGCCAGGCAAGGTGGTGCATGCCTGTAATCTCAGTGGATTGCTTGAGGCCAGGACTTCACAGCCTGGGCTGTTCATAAAGCAAGATCTCATCTCTACAAAAAAATTAAAAAATAAAATAAAATAAGCAAACCTAAGTTTTTCTTATTTTTAATGCTTTTAATTATGAATAAATGAATGTTGAATTTTGTCAGATGCTTTTTCTGCAACTTTCAAAATAATATCACAATTTTCCTCTTGAAATGCCTTAAGATAGAAAATTTTATTGATTTATTTTTGTTTGTTTCTCTTTAATTTCTTTATGAAACCATAACTGTGTACATTATAAATGTCTTAACACAATAATTATGTAAGTGAGGTGAAGGCTATGTTAACCAGTTGATGTAAGCATTCTGAATTGTATGAGCTTTTCTCTATCAAGGAATGATAAAGTAAATTATAGTATGTCCACTGGATTATTTATTATCAAGCCCTTAAAATGAAGGAAGTGGCATAAATATACTCAGAAA